GTGGTCCTTTATTATCACAGCAGCAAACACACTGGTCCACAATGCACATGCACAGGCTATAATGAACACAGAGGAGCTGTAGTTAAGAAGAGAAGAGGGATAGAGAAGAGGAGGATTTTCAACAAGTCAGGTTATGAAAAAGAAAATACAATCAGTAGTAAAAATATACAATGTTATACAACTGTGATGGTTGTGAAGTGAAAAAGTATGGAAAAAGTATACGCTTATAACAGGGCCGCACAATATATTACAAAAATATTGATATTGTAATTATTGATATCACAACAAACTCAATATACCGCAATAATGTCAAGGTTCTCCATCTGACAAAAATGCATTTGCATGTATTTTGAATAGAATATGTTAAATAAAGCAGATTCCTTTAATGATTTTCGAAAGTTCAAAATTAGCTCTGATTTAGTCCTGTTTTTTTTATTTTGCCAGCTTCACAAGTATGTAATGTTTTGATTTTATTATAACTGAAAACTAGAATTACACAACATTAGCATAAATAAGCAAGGGAACGCTGCTGACTTCATAGTCAGATAGAAAACTTTTTTTAAAATATCAAGTTCATTCAAATTGCATATTTTAAGTTCAGGAGCTGACTGAAATATGAACTGCTAAACTAGTGCAGGAATTTGATATCTTTCAGACCATGTTTGTAGACTTTCAAACTACAGGGCTAGCAGCTTTTAGTCAGAATAAGACTTCACGTACACATTTGTTTCAGGTTATCTGCAGTTATTCCCAATAGCATAGCAGCTTTGGTGATTTGCCTATTTCAACCCTTTAAATGTGTTTTTTTTTTGCCTATAATTTATGTCAGATCTCAACCAGCTTAGGCAGCATTACCCAAGTAGACTATTAGCGCGTGCCTCTTCAGCAGCACCCATAATTGACCGTGTGAGAATTATAGGGAGGTGCAAGTGCTTAAGTAAACCAATTCTCCTTTGCAGCTCATTTAGCAGACCTGGCAACCTCTCTGCTATCTGTCTACCTACATATATGTCCAAAAGAGGGTTAGGATGGCAGTGTTTTCTAGATGTGTGGTATATGCTACATTATGGAGTATATTTTTGAGGGATTAGCATCTGTTTAGTCCCTGAGCAGTAGTTTGTGGTTAGCAGCCATCTTTATAGGCCTGTGGTGTTATGGTAAGGAATGTCATGCTTCATAAACCAAACGTAGAGGAAGTAGAGAAGTAAAAGGGTGAATAGCAAAGTACCCAATTTTTCCCATGTAGTTGAGCAAAATATGTCTTTCCCCAGTACAGAAAAATATTGTATAAGCAGCCCTTGAGGTAAAAATAAGTCCGCTGCAGACTATTTGCAACTTTTTACAAAGCGTTTTATTGTCAGAGAATCAGGAAGTACGTGGTTAGCATGCTAGTTGTTGTTAGCGTTATCAAAATGCTGAAACTTTGTTCTGGCCTCTGAGAGATGTGAAAAGAGCTCATAAACTCATCATGGTGAATAATTAGGATATTCGGAATGCATAAGGTAAGTGAGGAATAACTTAAGACCACTGCAAACTGTATACTGAACTAGTCCTCTTTAAAAATCAAGTACAGCTCCTATGAATAAATAAATAAATAAATACTTGTTAGAATGTACTCACTTATGTTAGCTACATGAATGCATACTGTTTGATTCAAATTTTATCAAGCAATGGATTTCATATGCCTGAAGCCAAACTGTGATATATTGCATAGAAGAAAATATTACTTTAAATAGTTTTAAATATACGGAATCATGATGTACAAAAGCTGCAACAGTAAATACTTGCAGTGTATTGCTATTAATCTGACAAGTCTTGCAATTAGATTTGCAATTCATCTTCTAACAATAGGATTCTGTTTAAGGTTCACATTCCCAACATGTCCACAAGATTTGACAAAAAGACTGAAATATGAACTGACAAACTAATGCAAGAATCACATTTGTTTGATTCATGTTTGTGCAGACATAAACTAGAGGGTTAGCTGTTTTTATGCAGAATAAAACAGGATAGTTTGTTGTTTGTGGAAGAAATTATGATAAAAAATTGCACTCTTTGTGGTTTTGTTAATGCGTTTATTCAAACTGTGATTAATCTTGCAGTTCTATACGTCACAGTGCATTCTTTCTGTTTACAGTTTGAACCTCAAACAAGACATATTATAGCACATTTCTGATGAATTTCAAAAATATTTCAATAAAGCGTTAATTTTTTGGTCAATATCTGTCTGGAGACTATTCTGTGCTGTGAGGTATGATCTAAACAAAAGGTTGTCACATGCCACAAAAGCTATCTGATTCTAGCTGTGCTGCACTGCATCAGAAATGGCACTCTAATTGCTGTGTGCCAATTATCCTGTTTTCATAATTGCGGAAATTTGTTATTATGATTCAAATCGGTGAAATTGCCCAGGGCTAACAAAGAAAATTATGTATTAAAATAAAATTGAAAAACAAAGCAACACTGTCCTTTTTTGTTGTCTGGTATAGCTACTCTGTTTTGATTGGTTTATATTAGTGTTGTCGTTTCAACGTTTCAAACACGATTTCGACAAGGAACGGCATCAATACTCAAAGCAATTCCAATACCACTACAATAATAAAAAAACAAAGACTACTGAATGTGATTTTGAACATTAAATCATAGAACCTTTTTACATGACCATGTTGCCTTATATCTGTATAATCCGTTGGTAGTGGTTATTCTTTTTCTTGTTCTGATACAACTCAAGATCGTTCTAAAGCTATTCACGAAAGTTTAATTTCGGTCATATGACTATTTTTAGTGTTGATACTTTCTCAAATGAGCATCAAGTTTCAATACTAGTTTAAGTATCAATTAGTATTTCATTTCCTATACAAAGCTAGTCTTTTTTGATTGGTATACATAAACTTCTTTTTTCTCAAGGACTGTCTAGCAAAGTAGTAGCCCACTTGGTAATATAGTTTAGTGGCTATAAAAACATAATATATCTTGATATACCTGCCTAAAGGACTGCATTAATAAAGAGGAGATGAGTCATTTGATTTTTACTGTTATAGCAGCCATAAACATTTGCTTAGGTTCTATTTATGTAACGTTATATGGCCTAACATCCATCCATTAACTCCCTCTTAGAGTAAAAGAAGGCTAAAGTAAGACAGAGGGATATGTTAACATTCAATTATTATAACAGCATCTACAATTGTAAAATTTCAAACTCAATTTCAATACTAAGGAATACTCAATACTCAATATAGATTACGATACTACTATGATAATAAAAAAAAACACTCTTTTTTAAATCACTGAATGTGATTTTCAGCATTAAATAATCATAGTACCTTCTTTTATATTACCATGTGGTCTTATATCTGAGTAATCCCTCAGTCATCCAGAAAGTTTCCATAGTGTGTATTGGACATACACCAGTCTCTGTGCCCTGATATTTGTTGTATCTCAAGATCATTCTAAATCTGTTCAGGAAAGGTTCATTTCTGTTCTGTGTATGTGACTTTTTTAGTATCGATATGTGCTCAAATGAATATCTAGTTTCAGTACTAGTTTTAGTATTGATTACTATCTAATTTTCAATACTTTTGACTTTTATGTGAAAACTGTGGTATACAACCTTAAGACTAAAGACTAAAAACTACAACTTCTTCAGTGTGTAAAAAGTAATAACAGAAAAGAGTAGTGGAAGGTCACTAAGTTTTGAAATTGAAAAGTTTGTTGGACAGGATGAGTTGTAACAGGGTAATGAAATCAGGAGTCAGCAGACAGGTCCAACATGCTCCGATCACACACCCCCATTTGGCCCCTGTCATTTAGGGGAATTACTTTAGTGACAAGTCATATTATTTGACTTATGATTTCACTTTGCAATATTAAAAGTGTCACGATAATATAGCTGACAACACATTCTTAAATGCAATATTTTGTTAAAGTGGCGGTATTACATGTTAACAGTTGTTAAGACATACATAATTAAATCACCATGTTACCTTTTATTATTTTGAAAATGTTATATTCACCAAAAACAAGGTGACAAGGTACAGCTCTGAGTTTCCCCTCCATTTGCTCACCATGCTTCAGAGCACTATCACAACAAAATCAGCATGCATCCGCTAATGAAACAACAGCACATTGCATAAGTTTGGTGAAGTTGTAGTGTTTTGTTTTGTATCACACTTTTGTATAATTAAGGAAAATTGCTGTGTGGGAGCATAGATGACGTACACTTGTGGGCTGAGTTTTGGACAGAACAGTAATGCTAACCACAAGGAGGGGTTGACTAGTGCGCGGGAGAGATTGCTAAAATACAAACATGGATGGATGGATTCAGGCATGTTTTTGATGAGGGAACAACATGGTAGAAATTAATTTTGCATAATACATCAGAATAAATATACATAAAGTGATTTCAATGTAAAAAACAAAACAACAAACACTCAAAATCAGTACACACCCTTTGTGGAATTTTAGTTTTAATCGCACCAGGTAATATGGACTCTATTGTGAACATCATTACATGCAAGCTCTGTATTTGGATGTAAGGAGAACAGAGCAGAGTCAGTGCAGTGAGGCTTTTTACTACAGTGTGAGGAGATGGAGGAGAGGGGGAGGAGGAGTATATGGTCACTGCTCCTGGACATGCTTCATCAGGTCAGCAGTAATGTACTCTTAAGGCAGCCACAAGAGTCATGATGTGAATGGAATTGAGCCATAAGTTCAACCAGGAAGACCGCTCTTATCACTACCCAATCACAGCCAGATACCTTGACCTCTCAACCAATCACCTCTCAGGCACTTAAATTATCTCTTTCTCTCCTCTTTCTTACCGCAAGTACAGCTCCATTAATTTACATCTCCACCACAGAATCAGAACCATCGCCCTCCTCCGCCTGTCCATCTCCTACTCTTTACCACCAGTGACATGCATTTTTGTCACGATCTAGGCACCATAGTCTATCAATTTGTCTCCTGTTTAAAAAGAAACATAAAGGTGGTCCATGTCTTACCTGTACAAGTAGCTCTAGCTTTCTGTCATCCAAAAGGTGAACTTGACATCGCCGCCCCTCTGTCATCTGTAACACAATGGAATAGCACAGGTTAGATTTTGTTAACATTATACTATTACACCACATATATTTTTCCGATCAAACAATCATAAGAAGCACAACAAAGATTGTGGAATGTCAAATGTTTTTTTCTCCACGGAGATGTTATTGCTTTGTCTGGGAAGTTTCACAGTATGGTATTAAACCTTTTTTATCTTCATGTAGACCAAACCAGAGCAAGTTACATGTCAGATCTTTGGAGAGGCAACATTGCTCACAGTCAGAATACCTAGTTTTACTAGATATTTTTGAGCAATACAACCACCTGTAATTGAATACATGTAAGGTAGAGTTGTTTAATGTCATACTGTAGAACATTCCAGGCAAAGAAATGACATATTCATATAAACAAGCATGTGATGGACCCCCAACCAAAAAGTTACACAGTGCACCTTAAATCAAGAGTCAGTAATTTAAAATTTGGCTGGGTCTTTTTAATGGAGAGATCTACAGACAAATCTGAAAGGTGATGCTAAAGGTCCGCCTTGTGTTTTCTGTCTCTGTTCAGGGAATTTATACTGAAAGGCATTTTTGTCATTTTTAATAAGACAAAACTGAATTGAACAGTTATCAGCCAATATCATTTTTTTTTTGTTATATCTTTCAGCCCTCTGCACAATCACATCACACAAACTTGCTGGCTCAACAAAATTATTACAACATCATGCAAATTCTGAGCCTCCCAGAGACTTTGCATTCCACCAGGGAAAACAAAAATGGCCCCATACTGTATACCTGAGGGACACAACCAAATAAGTCCTTAGATGGTTGGGTAAGCAGGTGGCAAAAATATTAGAAATAAAATAGAAACTCTGTGACAATTAGCAGTTATGGAAGACTCTAATTATGTAAGTTATAAAATGGCTCTGTGAAGTAATAAAACTTTCTTTAGATCTTTACAAATGTGTGAAATGTGTGAGTCAATACATTTTGCCACTCTCCGCTATTCTTGGATTATTTTGGCAGTGGTCTTCAACGTTTTTCAGATCAAATACCAATAATAACACCCATTGGCATTCGTGGACCTGAAAATCTGAATATAAGCTACCTGCGAAATCATAAACATTTATTTTATATTGAGGACACAGGCCTAGATAAATTAATTTGATAGGCCAACAGATTGCCTTGATTAATTTTTTCCTACATCCACTGGGAACCTCTATCCCCAGGTTGGGAACCATTAAGAAAAAAAAAAAAGAGAATTAAAATAATTAGACAACTTAAGACCAAAACACCAGAGGACACGCGTCAGTTTATGAATGGATTTTTCAAATTAACTTTGGTAATCAGATTTGCGTGAACTGATCGATTAAACTTGACTACTTTCAAGTGTAATTTTCCAAGTAGAGATACTAACTGCCCAAACAAAATCAATGTTCAGTTACTTATGATACCAAAGAGCTCCATAATGTTTCGTCAGTGGAACTTTACAAAATGACACCACACAATAATAGACCTCTTTGTCGTGTCTAGCATTCTTCATAGCAGGAAATCCACATTCAAACAGAGGACTATAGCACAGTACATAACAAAGTGCCTGGACAGCTCCCAAAACACCGCTCAAACTCAGACGTAAACACAGAGGCAGGTGCAGAGCTCGAGCACACACCAGTCATAACATAAGGATATGAGAATAAAGCTCCACTGAGTTTGTTGATGGGTAATAAAAACGATTTGCATAGCATCTGGATCGGGGGAGTAGTTGTCTAATGTTTCAATATGGCACAAAGTCAGAGCAGTTATTTTTAGTGCTGCAGTACCTATAAAAAGTCTTGTTATTACAACATTCAAATATTTGTATTTATTTTACTTAAACATATTTTTAAAACCCAATGGTGACACACCTCAGAATAGGCTAGTGTTGTGATTTTAAATTTTCCAACTTGATTTCAATTTCAAAGAAAATGTTTGACTACAATAATAAAACCAATCTTTTATAATGTATTGTCTACTCAAAATAATTGTGGTTTGCTTAATGTTAGTGATCTTATAGCTGTTCTGCTATAGACCATGATAATTCTAAAACTACTCTTAGTTTGAATACTTCTTTTAGTATTGATTAGTATCTGGGAATATTTTTTCACAATGCTAACGAGCTGTTGATCCAAAAGTTGCTAGGAGAGTTGTCTCGATTTTGATACTAAGGCATAGAGTCAGTAACAATTAACTCTCATTTTCAACTGATTCCATTACCACTATCATAATAAAAAAAAAAGAAACACTCTTTATTTAGACAACATAATGTGAACATTAAATTGCAGTGCTTTCTTTATATTACGACGTGGCCTTATGTCTGTGTAATCCCTCACTCGTCCAGGTAGGTTCCATAGTGGTCCAAAGGTGTATACTAAGTCTATGTGCTCTTATACTTGCTATGATACAGCTCAAGATCATTCTAAAGCTATTCAGGAAAGGCTAATTTCTGTCCAGTGAATGTGACTTTTTAGTATCGATACCAGCTCAAATGAATATCTAGTTTCAATACTGGTTTTAGTATTGATTAGTATTTGATTTTCAATACTTTTTACAACTCTGGTTCCTAGTCCAATCAATGTGTCATTGAGCAAAACTCCCATTTTATCTGTATAAAACTGTGATTGTGCCAGTGAAGGTTGGGGACACATAAAGCTAATATTTACTCAGAAAATATTAACCTACTAAAGCCATCAAATGAAATATGGGCACTGCAATATTGCCTCCTCTATTTAAATCACAATTTAACATCATATCATAAAGTACTTCAGACAGTACACATTCCTTCCCTGCATGTTGTTTACATTGGTTAACAGGTGCTTTTCTGTGCATTAGAAACAGGAAGCGTGGACCCTAAGGAGCTGCTGTGGGCCTTCCCTCACTTCCTCACATCTGCAAGAAAGGAAAACGCATCCAAGACTCAGCACTGAGGAAGGGCAGCATCCGAAACACATCTTTAACTTTTTACTAATAATACTTCTACATACACAGATGGAAGATACATTATATTAGATCTTTAACCAATGTATTTGTACAAAACCGCTAAGCAAAATTTACTTAATACACTAATTCATCCTAAAACTAGTATCAAAACTAGATCTTAGTGTCATCAGAACAAATACAAGACCTAATGCTCAGATAAAGAAAGTGCTATAAGTTTGGATATGAAAATTATGTTATATTACTAAAAAGAAGTATGTTTTATTTTTTTTTTATCATTGTGGTATCATAATTGGTATTGAGTACTGTGTAAATTCCTTAGTGTTGAAATCGAGTTTGAAATTTTAGTATTGTGACAACACCAGTATATATACATTGGAGAAGGTCCATGACGCAGGGCAATGTGATGAAATACTGAATTCTTTAAAACAAGTTTTTTATGTACTGTTATATTTAGTAAATCAACTTTATTAGAAACAATTTGACAACTGAAAACTATCCAAAAACTAAACAGAATTCTTAGACTAAAGTTATGGCAGGGTCACTGGGCTATATAGTAATAACATTCAAACTGTGGTCTATTGGTGCTATTTTGAAATTAAATCACGATCCACTGTCCTTCATACATGCAGTCCAATACTTAAAACACACATTTCTCCACCCACTCCTCCTATAGATCATCCCTCGTCATACTCTTAGTGAATGACAGGAGGATTTAACCAATCACAGTGAAGTGTGAACTCAAATAGCTACAGTTATCTTTTAACAACAGTACAGTTTTTTTTGTTTTGTTTTGTTTTTTTTGCATACTGCCCACCCCAAATTATAGTGAAAATGCTGGGACAAAATTTAGCTTACCATTTCTATTTAATGGTGACAACTGACAATCCAAGTTATTTTGGCACAGAATTTGAAAACAAAGTGGTCACCAAGCAAACCAAACACACAACTCTCAGCTTACATATCAAATTGTCAAATTGGCCTCCTCAGGCTGCTGCAATCTGGTAAGGGCGTGTTAGCCGAGGTGAAACTTAGCCGGGCTTTCTCATCACTCTCGCCAAGTTGCGTTCAGGTGTCAGGGCAGGGTGGGATTTTTAACGTGGGGCTGTGGAGATGGAAAAGGGGGAGCTAGCATCATGGTTGTAGCCAGCATGTGCATGTGGTTTGGAGGCCCTTTATTAAAGGGTAGCTCTGTAGCCGCCCACGCACTGATCTCCTGTGGTTTGGTGGTCTACATTCACCACACCTGTGCAAGCAACAAGTAGGAGAGATGTTTCCAATGGCTAAGGATACTTTTGGAACACTGCAGGATTAGATATCTTTAGACTTGGGTTATATGAATGTTTAAGGTATTTTTAGCTACATTATTTAGACTATTTTAAGCAGAAATATTTGCCAGTGAAGTAAGAAAATTGCACTTCAATCATAATCTTGGCTACACACTCTTATTTGCAAGATACAGGGAGTTCTGTGGGGTAAATGTAAATAGTAAATTTTCACATTTTTATATAGCACTTTTCCACCTTCAAGGCACTCAAAGCGCTTTAAATCAAGGAACCACTCACCCATTCATACACACATTCATACATTAGTGCCAGATCCACTGGCACACACTTGCGCCAGTGGATCTGACTGCTCAACTCTTGTCAAGGGCAGGATTCGAACTGCCAACTTTCGTCTCAGAGGACAAACACTTTTCCATGTACTTTTATATGACTCAGAAATATGGCTGCACAATCAAATCAAAACTCAATTTGCAAATCACATGATTTAAGTAGCATTATTTTCTCTGCAATCGCCACAATATCTCGTCTTATTCTGAGTAAAACCGTTACCCTGTAGTTTAGACCTCTACAAGCATATTCTGAAATGCAGGGGATTATTGTATTAGCTCATATTCCTTCTCTCAAATGTTAATGCTCCTGAATGAGTTTAAAAATGTGAACTTTGCATGGACAACTATCTCTATAACAAGGAACTAATGCATTTCCACGTACATGCGAGACAATACCCCCAGACTTTTATGCTAATCTGTTCAATAAAGCCAGCTCTCAATAAAACCATTCAATGTTTTTCAATTGTCATTAATCTTGTCGTATCGTAACCAACCGATACATATACACATACACACAATTGACTTGTTATGTTGCTATATATGAGGACAAACTACCAACAAACCAGGGTCTTCTACCAAGCTATAACTAGTTTGCAATATGGGATTCTATTTGAACAAAATCTACATTATAATACTGCATTTGACCCACTCTTCAATGCCACTGTGCAACCTGTCAAAACTCCATCAAATCTTGAGTCAGAAGATCATAGCCAGCCAACTTTCTCTGTGTATATGTATGGACTGAAAGACTGAAATATGAACTGATAAAGAAATACAAGAATCCCATGTACTTCAGAACATGTTTATAGTGATCTAAACTATAGGTATAAAGATTTTCAATAGAAAGACAAGATATTTAGTTCTTTGTGGAGGACATAATCTAAATAACTGCAGCCTTCAATTCCATTTTCATACCATGCTACCCTAAAACCACACAGAGAGAACATGCAAATTCAAATCCCCACACATTCCAGGAATGGAACCTGCCACCTTCTCAGTACAAACTATACTATAAGAAGGGACAGTGGCAAGTAAACACACACATCAGTTTTCAGCCACAGGGTACATGGCGTTTCTTAATGTCATGGTAACAAATCCATGCCTGGAAGCCTATTTCAGAAGCGCAGTCTGGCAGACACATCCACACGCTTATTTTTGAGTTCAAATAGTGTGGTTTGGGCACAAACCTCGGAGCTGCAACCGACCGGGAAACCAGATGTAATAAAGTCACTATTAATAACTGTTGGGGACATTAGAATGGGATGACAAAAATAGAGATTGTACATTTTGTAACTACCGTATTTATTTTGTTCGTGAATGTTATACGGGCTACTACGGTGTGGAAAATGAGATACTAATCGATGCTCAAACTAGTATCGAAACTAAATATTAAGTTGAGCAAGTACTGATACTAAAAAAGTTACCTTCATAGAATAGAAGTGAACCTTTCCTGAATGGTTTTAGAATGATATTGAGCAGTATCAGAACAAGTATAAGACCGATATAAGATATATAGATATAAGTTTACTGTAGTATACGCCCATGAACCACTATGGACCACAAACTACCTGGACGAATGAGGTATTACACAGATATAAGACCACATGGTAATATAAAAGAAAGTACTATGATGTCAAAAATCACATTCTATTTTCTAAAGAAAGACTGCTTTTTTATTATAATTCTGCTTACTATTGTGACAACGCTACTGGCTCTTACAGTATTGTAGAGGGCTGACATTGCAGTTATAGAAAAGTACTCAAAAGGAGGGCAACAGAGAACCACAAGGTTAACACCCTGAACTGAAATAATTGAAAATGACATCTGAATGGTAGTCTGAGTTTCATATACTGTGTCCACCTTTCAGCCCTTTCTTTTCTACTATCCAAAGCTAAATATGAAAACTTTAATAATGGCTTATATACGTTCATAAAGGACAATTTATACATTTTAAAACAATAAACATCTGCAGTGTCCTTGCAAGCAAAGTACGTCAATACTGTAATAACACAGGTGAGACAAACAAAACAAATGACAAAAGATGGGAGCATAGGGGATCATTACTAGAGCAGGGTTCAAATTATACAAACTTTTGCAGCTGAAATGTTTATACAGAAATGCATTGCTGATGTTGAATCCATGTCACAAGCAATATATGAAATTAAAAATATGTTTGATCTAATTAACATATGAACCTCAAACACTGTACCTTAACCTTAAACAAGCCAGCAGTAGTAAGGTTTTTCAGTAGTTATAAAGGTGTATTCTCACATTTTCATCTATATCATGACTCAAGGCTTCGATCAGGGCTGTCACTGTCACTTTTTTTCTTTTGAATTTGCCTAGTGTGCAGTATTGTTACCATAGTGAAGCAGTACGGGAATAAAGCAGGGATAAAGAAAGAATAAATAAAGGAGGGGCCAAAACTGGTATAAACCATTTCTAAAGATTGGCTAAATATTGGACTTAAATCAGGTCACTATGACATGATCCAGGTCACTATGACATGATCCATTAGCCTATTAGTTATAGCTGTTAGTTGAAACTGTGACTAAACCAGAACATAGTCAGTAAGCTATTTTACTCCGATTAAAGCTGCACAATGTAATTTTTCTGTTGAAGAGTACACCAAGTTGCCAACTGCTTGCTGTCATTGATCATTCATTAACTATAAGCGGGGTTCACCTCTCCAGAGATCAGACCTGTAACCTCACCTGGTAATGTGGTCTCCACTTGTCTCCAAGGAGATAAATGACTTTAAAGTCATACTACAGAACATTCCAAGGAAAGCAATCTTCATGGAGACAAGCAGGTGGCAGACACTATATTATAAAACTTACTTAGTGCACCTTCAAACCAGTATGCTATTACACCTGAGCTGCAGGAGATGGACTAAGCGAGGACTAAACAAAGACTAGATCAGACAAGGACTATAACAGGTCTAACCCCAAACCTGGACAAAACCATCGGTACTTTATCCATAGAATTCTCATACCCAGATTAAACCAGAACTAAACCAGATACCAACATCTGGATTTCATTCCAAAAATCAAACCATAGGATCTCCTTCACCCACCCTACCCTCTCCAGCGTGGATACAGGACTGAGTGGAGCACATGTGTTTTGCTGCATCATCCCGGACTGAAGCCTACAACATGATTCACACAGGAAACCGACCGCCAGTCCTCACATATCACGCACATTACTTGTCAGGCTTGAATAACGCCGGCAATATAACCCACATCCTGCCTGGTGCCTTGCTCAGCGGCAGCGGGGGATTAAAAGACAGAGGGATAGCTAGAGGAAGAATGTAACAAGATCCTACTGTAAAGAAGAAGCAATGGAGCTGAGAATGCGATGCAAAGTAGCAACAAAATAGAGGAAAAACGTGTAAGATAGCGTGTGTTCGTTATCCACGTTTACCTTGCAGATTTACGCGTCACGTCACGAACCAAAATAGGCTTATAATAAATTCCACAATGGCAAAAATCCGTGGGAAACCGCCAATCTTCCAGGCGCAGCAACATAAACGCAAGCATCCATGTTATTTGGCATTAGTTAGCGGTAATAGTTGTAGCCGTGGCGCGCTGTACATCCAATCTCAATCCAACGAAGCTCTCTATCTCGTGTCCCCCAAAAAAGCTAGCGTAAAACCGGGACTGCCAGAGAGAGAGAACACCGCCGACTGGAAGGAGGAGTGTTTTGCCTTTACGCCCACTCGCTCCACTCGCTCTCATCACCCCCCTTCTCCTCCTCTCCAAAGCCGAGCGAGCGCTTCCTTCTCCCGGGGACCGCCAGTGCCTCTAACCCGGTGAGGGAGGCTGGCGCACGGACGCAGCTAGAGGGAGGGACCGTACCATCGAGCGTAAAGCAGGGGGGGTACGCGGCTAGCTAGGGGAGCGGGCTGTTGCAGAATGAGTAGTGCAATCCTCGCATGCCCTGCCTCGCACACTCGGGGGCTATGTTTCTTGGCTGTCACCGGAGTTCGCTTTAGAAAACACGGGCAATAATGGAGGCGAGTTGTGGGGGCAGGGACACGGGAGAGGAGGAGAGGAGAGGAGAGGAGGGGATTTTTTTTCTGCAGTAGCCATCATGAGAAATTACAGACCTATTTCAACGAGTGCACGGGTAAAATAGCCCACTAATGTTGCACAATATAAAAATAAATTGTAGTCTTGTTATAGTAAATTATGCGTAATGGTTGTAGGGCGAACGTAAGGTTACAAGATTCCCCACACTGCCTACAATGGGTTATTACTGTGAATGGAGATGTTGTGATCAAACATAGGCTTATAATTTAAAATAAATTAAACTATAAAAGTAAACCAGGATTAAGCCATGCCCAAGACCAAAATAGGTGTAAAAGTGGATTCAATACTGAACCAGATTTTTTGACACAAGTTAAGTCCATATTTCAGAACCTTCTCCATAGAGATACATAAATTTTACGCCATAATGTGGAATATTATAGCCAAAGGAACAGCATTGCCATTGCCAATAATCCAGGCCAAGTAGAGTCAGGTTTGCAGAGATTCAAGCCCACTTCGATTAAAGATGCTTTTCAGAGCAATAAACAACCAAAATTAAAAGGGAAAAACATGGTATTTGCTGTTTTTTAGCTCAAAAGTTACATACTGTGGCTTTATATTTCATATTTCTTGTTAGTTCTGTTCCTTATATTTATATGCCTATTGCTTAAATACAGTCATGAAATAGCTTCCATGTCTCCTCAAAAAGGCTTGCATGACATCAGAGACTGGGATGTCTGCAATAATAAATGGATAAAAACTAATATTCAAAAATACAGAATGCGCTTATCTAAATCTTAAAGGGAAAGAGAGTATTATGTGGGATTTCCATGACGATCTGTGTAAACAAACATGGCCGCTGTCATTACTGGGGAAAAGTCAATCCAGGCTTGGCTTTTTGAATGAGCTCCATCTGTCATAAGCTGAGGTGTGGCATATGTAAACATTCTTGCCTTTAAACATTTTGAAAAACATAAAATTATATTTTTAAAAAAGTGGTTTAGTATGCCATATATTACTTATCCAAAAAAAGTTTATATACCAACTACTGAAATTTCATTTGTCGTGTCCTTCAGCATCATTGCTTGCTTGATGAAGACTTTTCTCCTGATCTTAAAGGGGCTGTACACATCGTCCATGTAGTTGAGCAAAATGTGTCTTGCCCAGTTCATATATATTGTAAAAGCAGCTCTTAGGGTCAAAATGAGACCACTGTGTATAGTTTGCATCTAATTATAAAGCATTTTACTTCCTAAGAATCAAGAAGTGCATTGTTAGCATGCTAGTTATTGTTAATTAGAATGACTGTGATGGCAAAACTACCCTCTGGCCTCTGAAAAGCCTTGTGAAAAGTGTTTATAAACCACTGTGGTGAATAATTATGATGCCCAGAACTGCATAAAGTAAGGAGGCATACCTTTGGACCACTGCAAACTGAACTAATTCTGTTTTTCATTTCAGGAACAGAACCTTTAAACCAGAAAGCTTTAAGCTTGGGAGTACCTGGATGGAGAATTAGCCTCCTGTACTTCTTTTGAGTTCATGGGTCTGAGATGACCACCCAAAATCACAAAGGAAGAACACGCAAACTCCACCGTGAAAGCTGTACCATTTTTAATCTGCCCACATGATGTGAGCTATAAACACCTTGATTCTTATGTTTTGTTTTAATGAAATGTTTTAAACATTTGTGCCAACTGACAAAATATACTCCATTTTACGAGCCTACAATGTCTCCCCTCTGCTCCTGTGTTTTCATAACATTAGCTTTTGTCCGCTTTGTAATAGGGTAATAAAACCAACCCCGCTCTCACCTTCCTTATTAAAAAGGAAGTCTTATTGACAGTTTGGCTAAGCTCCTTCACTCTTCCTACCACTAAATATTTATGCTTTATCAAGATTGTTTTGTCACTTTTGCATAGAATTTTAGGTTTAGTTAGTTTAGCTTTTAGAACTAGCAATTGCCATTTTAGGAAATTGTATCGTGTTGTACAATAAATTGTAAGAAATTCAAGAAATACACAATTTTTTTGGTCCCTTGTGATATTTTTTCCTTTCTTTTTTCCTCATAAACATCCATGTTTGTTTTGATTTGTACAGACCATATGTGTCCCAGATTGGCTAATCCACCTGTCAGTCACACCCATCTGAAGTCAGGAAGATTCATCTGTGACCAAACTTTGCAAAGTAAAGTCCTTCAACATATTTTCCACATACTCCAGGAACTGAACCCAGGATCTTTTTACTATAAGGCAACAGCACTGACCAATATGCCACATTTGAAATGTATTAAAGTGTATGGACTGTAAGGGTACATTATGTAACTTTTCTGGTGGAAGGTCAGCATTTCTTCTGAGAAATGTTATTGCTTCCAATATCCCACAGCATGGCATTAAATCCACTTTATGTCAGAACAGGTTTTATATTGGGGATGCCTTTCCACAGATCTGACCTGTAACTTGGCCTGGTAGCATCACATGCTTGTTTTCATGGAGAGTTTTAATGCCATATTTAACATTCCAGGCAAAGTATTACATTGCCATGGTGACAAGCAGGTGGCACACCTTCCTTCAAAAGTTACATAGTGTACCCTTAAAACACACAAGAGATATTGTTGTGCCCTACAGCAAAACATTTAAATTAAGGCAGGATCACTCTTCTCCAGATTAGTCTTTCAATGTCTGAGAAGAATCAGAAAGTGTGCTGTTAGCATGCTATTTGTTTTATCCTATACACAGCTTCCTTTCAGGTTAGTAAGTAAGTATGTTTTTTTTATCCATTTCAGTCCTGTTTAACATGTCCGTTAACAGCTGTAGTTCTGGCCAAGCTCCAGTTGAGAAGTTGAAGACAGGAGCCCATTTTAGGACAAAATGTGTCTCATTCCAGACTGACCGTTGCAGTGGGACAGGACGCAGAGTTTGGATGTGCAGAGAACAGACAGGAAGTGAGGCTGGGCTGACTCAGGCTCATAGCACAGAGCAGAGCCTAACCCCAGCCTGAGTGAATCATGACTGAGGAGAGAGAGAGTGTTATTTCAAACAACATGAGGTGTCTGCAACGGCAAGCTAGTGTGGGACTGTTATGGTTTGAAATCTTAAAGGGGACGTGAGCTGATGATGTAGTTTTTGAGGCTTCTAACTCTAACTTAGCCAACATAGGGGAGAGAAGAGGTAGAGAAGTTTTTTTTTTTTCAAATTTTATTTTTCCCGTCTAACCACTCCCAATGGCATGGTTATTTTCACAATCAAGCATGAAGTGAAGTGGGTGATGAGGGTGGAGTGTCTTGTCTAGCGGCACCACAGGACACACTTTTTAAAAATTCTGGATAAGAACTACCAAAAATACTAGTATTATTGTTGCTATTGTCATCACTCTCGCCAGCATTTATCTTGGTCTACTGATTATTTTAGGAACAAATTCAAATTCTTATGGCCTATGTTTTGCAAGCATATTAATGCACCTAAAGTAACAGATGTGAAGTTTCTTGCCTAGAAGCACAACATAATACACTGAGGCTGAATTCCAACTGAAAACCCCTCTAGTCACTTTGCAATATAACTACTGCAATACATTGATGCTAGAACTTTATACGTTTGGTACTCATTTTAGCCGAGATGCCCTTCCTTATGCTTACACCAGTATATCCAAGTGCGGCACTGTTTATTTTCAATTACCAGCTGGGGTAAATTAACAAACTTTTACTGCATCAGTAATATGGCAAGCAAAGCAAATTATAATTGGAACCATTCATTTGGCACACCCCAGTTTATGACATCAAGCAATATAGAAAACATTACAGTACTTTAACCAAAGGTGGGCAGAGTAGCCAAAAATTGTACTCAAGTAATAGCATTGCTTCAAAATAATATGACTTAAGTAGAAGTACAAAGTAGCAGTCCAAGAAATTACTCAACTAACAGTAAAAAAGTATTTGAGAAAACTACAACTCAAGTAATAGTATTTGTCTGGACCTAACATCTGATTTATAATTTAAACTGAATGTAATTGGGAGGACAAAAGTTTAATAGTGCACAAAATCTCAAAAATGTGAAAAACAGCATTATATCTGAAGGAGCGGTGAAAAAACACAAATGTTCAGTGTCAGTGTAAAGCTTTCGTCTCATCTTGTAGACTTACTCTGTGGGAAGAGTAACCAAAACTTTGTACTGATACTTTTACTGATACTACTTAAGTAAAAGTAAACGTATGCTGCTAGAAAAGTTCTCTGAAAAGTACAATTTCTTTCAAAAATTCTTAAGTAAATGTATCTGAGTACATGTAACTGAGTACTACCCACTTCTAACTTGTTATCAAGGTACATATTTAGTTTGTGAAAATGCTAGCTTTGCCTCTTTCTCAGTTGTTCCTTGAATGATTCTCACTGCGGATATATTTGGCCTGTTCCAGACACCGGAAACTGGCCTGTCCAACTTAAACATGTCCAGATGACTCTATCCTTTTGGCTTAAATACATGTGCTATGCGCTCCTCCCTTGGACCACTATAGCTCATTTTATTTGTAGCTTCCACGATTTACTATCAATAGAACCCTGTGGAAAAGATGCAAAGGCCAAGCTAGGTGAACACACAGAAAAATGCAGCGCAGTTGGGTTCCAAGAGGGTAGTTCCAGGAGGGTAAGAGGACAAATGCTGGAGAGAAGCAGTTTAATTAAGGCTATTATAGTGTAGGATAGTGAAGACCATTTGAACAGTAAAATGAAAACTTGGACTTTATATTGACTTATATGGACTTTAAAAACATGGAAAA